TTTCAACAATTTCCCCCCTAAAGTCAACATTGTTTACTAGTTTATTGATAATCTACTCAACATTGTTTACTAGTTTATTGATATTGTACACTTGCGATTTTTACAGAACAGTGGTAATGCAATTCCAATTATAACTTGGAAACCAAGGAAACCTTGAAGCTGATTATGGAAGTATTTGTTCATCCCAACTTTCCATATTCTGAAAACCGGATTTATCGATCCCATTTAAAGTAGGAAACATGATTCGCATCAATTTACATGAGAAAGAGAAGTCCTACAAACTGGACAAGACTGGTTCTTTTGTAACCACTGATCAATACAATCAGAATGGAAGTAATGTCCACACTGAGTTATGTACTTGATTGTATCTTCACATTGGTATTCCTCAAGGCATATTGCACAATCAACAACATTGGGACCTGCTGATTCTGTACAATACTTCATTTTCAACTCATCAATGACTATTGTCACAATGGTGCATTGTGACGTTATTGCATCAGTATTTACATTGGTGGTTTCAGGTGGCATTGAAGTGGTAACTGCCGTGGATTGTGGCCTGAGAATTGGTGCCGTAGAGTTGTCAACTGTTGCTTGAGTGCTACCTCCACTTGCTGTCAATTTCATCGAGCTTGAGAAGCATAATACGGCCAAGAATGTCGACATGATAACAAGAAAGGGAATAAAGAGTGGCGATCTGATTATTTTGGACCATTTACTCCTCGATCCACCTGTAAATTAAATGAACAAATAATGGAACTGTATCTTAATTTTTACATGACCTAAAGTGGTAAAAAAAATTGTTTCTATTCAATAGAATGAATGTCATGTATGGTGCTGCCGAAGGAGCTCTTGAAAGAACCCACCTCGGATACTAAAGGAAGGAGCAACTTTACTCCGTGCATCCTTTTGTTGTGAGCCCCAGTAACTTGAAGCACCAAGAGAAAGGCGTAGCGTTAAATCTACCTCACAGCTTGTAGAGGATCTTCAGTGATCGTGCAATCACTGTCTCATGCCGTGTTCCCACAATATCAGTCCAATTCAATCTTCCCAGATATGGCTTGGTGGAAAAAGATCGGTACTATGATGACTACTACCGAGTTATATATTTTGATATGAATCAAAAAATCGATTCATATATACAAGAAACCTCAAAATTTTCTACAAGTTATATTTTTCTTAATTAACAACAACAAAGAACTTCTTTTAATTACCAAAAAGGAGGAAAAATAATAATTAAAGCTCGATTTAAATATCTGAAAAAAGTTGAAAAATAAAAAGAAAGAAAATTACCTGTTTCTTGAGGACCATATTCATCACAATCTTTGCAGTAAGGGACATTCCATCTCAACTCGAAATTATTTACAATCCCCGTATTCTCATATTCACCATACCAGGAAACTGGGATTTCTGAGCTAAAAATTGAACTGCAATTGTAATACAGTCTCATCTCCTCAGGAGTGACTATTGCAGTCGCAACCGTAGCATTTGGCAAGTTGCTAAGGCAACCAATTGGCTTAAAACGATAATACAGATTGTTTGTTATTGGACAGCTATAGAATATGTAGTCTTCATAAATAATGGCCTCAAAAGGCGACGATGAAAGGTTCAAGTTTATAAGACGTTTCGCAAGGCAATTTCCAGGATCAGAGAGAGAGACTCTTTGTGTGTAGTAGTCAATGTCATGCACATAAAAATCTCCAGAAAAAGGAAGATTTAAAGTGGCTTTATTATCCTGAGAATTGCATCTCACATCAGTATAGTCATTACAAACTTTAGGATTTTGGCCTTGTAACTTGAAAGGATACATTATGGGGAAATAGTTGTTTCCACAGAAGGAATTTGGACAAATTTTCTTGGAATGTACAGTGGAAAAGATGAAGAAATGAAGTGAGAAGATGAGGACTTGCACAATGGCCATCTTTTCCAGGTAAGGCAGGCCTAGCTCAAGTATAATATGTTGTGAACATGGCTTAGGACAAGAAGCTACAAACAAAAGAGGGTTCGGATTTATCTAAAGTCAAGCTGGTAATAAAACAAATGTTATGTGACAAATCCTTCAGATTGTGACACTTGACCAGTAAGAACTCAGCAACAAGAAATCTCACACGTTTCTTCATAATAGTTCATCATAAAGAAACAAATATCAAATAAAGAACACGACAGTTTCTTTCAATTAAGGAGAAGAGAAGAGGTCATCGTTAATCTATAAATAAACTAGGTCTGTATTATAGCGGTAAACTATAAATAAGTATATCATTTCCCTCTAACGCCCTAACCTTTTAGATGGTGCGCGGTTAACATGATTTGATGAGATTTTTAAACAAGTAGATGTTGTCTTTTCTTGTGTTTTTTCAAAGCAAAGGGTATTCTGAAAGCGACATTCCATAAGATCCCAAAGGGAGTCCAATATTTTTCAAGATAAGGTGTGGTGCAGCAATTATCTGTTTTATAGCATATTATTGGTTTTCTGAAAGATCCCTACGGAGGCAACTGATTAAATATCCAGTAATTTTCATCCTTAATTGACTACTGATACGTAATTACAATTTGTCATAAGATTCCACTAATTGTCGAAACTTGAGTTTATAGCACATATAAGTCAAGTGAAAAAGTGGGAAAGAGGTACGCATGGCAACACGGAAAATGTGACCCAAGAGTCTTTGAGATGGCCTTGAAGAAGGTTAACTGAACCTGGACAGTCTCCATTGCCCTTTAGTGATCCTTGAATAAGAACATCTAATTACTGACCTCCAAATTCTTGGATATTCGTAGAATCAACGAGACTTTGATCATGTTACATGTCGTGGCCAGCATCGCACAAAGCTTCCTAACATGCAGGTAATTGCTGCATGTTAAGTATTGTAGTAAAATTGGTACCGATGGCCAATCTCTCCTCACCAATGGGTTCTGGTAGATTTTCCAATGGTTTTCAAATTCTCGGTATTGATAGGAGCTTGCCTACTATTTCCCACATCATCACAAAACATTACTATCAAGGACAGAGCCCAAACTTTTTGTCACTTGAAATCAATTATGTTAGATTGCAACTATTATAATTTTGTCCATAGCCAAGTTAAAACTTGATGTGTCCTTGTGATCACTTGGGGCACCTTTTGCTTACAAGTTGATTTTTAACACAAGATCCACCTAATGATATTGTGAGCACCTAATGATATTGTGAGCATTGGTATTAAAGAATATGTGCCTCAGGAAAAAGTAGAAGTACCTAAGCTGCCCTTAAGAAATTTTCATCTCCCAAAATCAAATGCCTTGCCTCTACCTCCTCAATCTGCGGGTGTCAACTTGGCTAATCTCCGTGCATTGCTAGGCTGAAATCCAACACAGCACAACTCGTCATAATTGACAAACCAACCATGAACCAGAATCAGGCTCGGCTAGTTTCGGTCAAAAATTTTAATGAGCTGACTCACACAAAACCTAGGCCGCTTGCCCAATTTGACACAGTTACCCCCACATTACACAACACTCCCGTCATTCTGAAATTGAAATTTAATCATTCGTCTTTCGGAAGGGATTGACTGTGGCAATTACCTAAATATATTAACAGATTTCCCTTAAAATAAGATATGTTTGAATCACTGTGTAAATTATTTACCGACTTGCTTAACATTGCTGTTAGGTTTTACAGTTTTTGGCAATCTTTAGACAAAAATATAGTTGTAAAAGAGTTTTAAAAGTCAATGAGTAAATTGGTAGGTTGTATAGATGGTTTGGGAGTCCTTGTGTTCGGTTATGGAATAAGAAGAAAAAGTTGTCGGATTTCTACTAGCCCGCCACCAAGTTGTTGCTTGAGCATCCAAAACAAAAACACCTTCGCTGGACTCTCGCTCGAGCGGAGCGCCTGCCACTGGACTCTCGCTCGAGCGACGGTGTTACCAAAAAACCATAATTTGAGTTTTCAAGAGTCCTATTTATCCTATACTACCCCAAAGCCTAAATAATATAAATACCAACCTCGTTTCGTGAAAAGACTAGGTCAAACAGTATTGTATCTAAGAGATTACTTTTATCACATCCTATACATTATTCAATCTCTTTTGATTCAACCAAAATTACTGAAAACATCAAATCCATATAATCAAAACACCAAAACTCAACTTCCGCATAATCTGTCAGAGTTCTGAAGGTCAAGGAGGATGACCGGAGTTTCGATTGAAGGAGAACAAGAGTTTTCATGTGATCCACAAGAGATAAACGATTCCAGAAGGTCGGGAGCTGGTACAGGAGGCCGCAGTCCAAGAAGGTCGTGGTGAATATATTCAGGAGGTCATAAAGTATTAAGGTTTAGTCAGAACAGTTTGTAAGACTTTATCATTTATAGTGGATACTACTGGCGCGAGGGATTTTATCCGTCAACAATTTTGTGGTGTTATTTATTTTCATGCAATATATCAACTGCGGTAATTCAACATAAGATAGAATTGCATATGAATTCATCTGGATAACATTAATAATTTGAATTTACTGTTGTTATTAATTAACAAAGTTAAATTCCAGATACAAACACATGTTCACCCCCTCTAGGTGTTAGTTGGGATCAAACTCATAACTTTCAATTACATTACAGGAGAGCTTCAAATTTAACACACTCTATAAAGAGTTGTGTTATCAGAAAAAATTCAAATAAAATTATATCATTTTTTGACATCCGAAAGCAAGGTTTTGCAAACTGGACAAGTTCTGTTCTTTCTCAACAACTGATAAATACAGTCTGTATGGAAGAAATGCCCACATTTAGCTATGTTTCTTACTTTCTCTTTGGGATTGTATGTCATCTACATACATACTAGAATATTTCTGGTAAAACTGAGCCAAATCAGTGTACATATACAGAGGCAATAGTGTATCAAAATATTATGTACGTACATACAAAAAGAAAGCTCGAGATTGGAGAAAAGACATACACGGTAATATCAATACCTTGTATGTCATCACGTCTTCTGATAGGGTACGATTATGAAATGTTGTCTATACACTCCCTATGAACGGTCTTTCGCACTAAAATCAGGCTCGGCTGGCTTCTGAAGCAGCAGAGGAGGCAATTTTCCACTAGGTAATCGGGGGGATAATTTAGCATTATGTGGATGATTGTTGCGCAGGGCACCAAGCATATTTGCAGCAAATTTTGATGCATAAATGGTGGCACCGAGGCTAGGTGTGCTCCCGCCCTCTTCAGCCAAGGCCTCATGCATTCTATCTTCAGCCTCTTGCAGAGATTTCTCAATCTTCCTCCTGCAATGTCGATGCCATGCTACTTGGATAAAGCAGGCTGCCCATGTCCTCCACTGCTGAGAGTAGAACCTGAAGCAATTATGTAAACTCATAAACTTCAGTGACATATCACATTAAAGGACCCCTGGTTTACGGAGCCTAATTATAATGTTCACATATCCCCTCCACAGCAGATTTATACAGTTTGTATACTGGGCATTCATATAGTTAAATACAACATAGTTTTCTTCATCATAATAGGAACCCACAGGGTGTCTTTTTAGATAGGTATGATGTAACCTCGTGATTCTCCTTTTTCATTAATAGGGGTGAATGCACATAGCTCTCACATTGAGTGTGAATCACGATAAGTTTTTTCTATTCCTGAGTGTGCGTTTCTGTTTTTCATATCGTTCATTATTGCTCCCGGGTTGGGATTAGAGATTAATCCCTAACATTTTATCAGGGCGGGGGCAGGGGGGTCAAAAACTGTAATCATTTTAGCAAAAAAATTAGAAGACGTTAAATTAAAGTTGAATTAGAAACTTGCCTAAAAGCGTGCTGAATATGCTTGCTGTGAAGACGCCTAAATTGGGAGGCCACACGTTTCAGGTCACCAGCCATCAGAGAGAAGGCCTCAACGTCTTTTATAGCTTGCACAGTTCTGGTTGAGATGGGAAGGCTGGAGGAAGAGTTGGGATCCATAGCCCATGTCAGAAGTTCTTCTCCACAAAAGTCCCCGGCCTTCAGATAATCAGAGTTAAAGAAACCAGTTCTACCACCATTAGTAGTCATGGTCAATATGTTACCACGCATAATAAAGAGCATCTCGTCAACTGGATCTCCCTCGCGAACTATGAAGCTCTTCTCTGTGTATAGAACCGGCTTCAGATGATCACACATTGCATCCAACAACAGTTCGTCCATTTGCTCAAACATTGGCACCTGTAATAAATAGTCAATAACTTGATAAGCAGATCGCTCAACTAAATAACGAGTATAAAGTACTTGAATGGCATGTTTGTGAACAAGCTTCAGTGCAACACTGTGTACCAAACATGAATAAAGAGTATTCTAGAGTAGTAATTGAAGTGCACTTACTCTTTTGAGTAAAGTCCAGCAGAGATGGCGGTTGATATCCCTTCTTAAGTCCTTAGGCAGGTTACGAATCAAAGAATCTTCTTCAACGCCCCTGGTTTCTTGCCATTTGTATTGATCATATCGTCTAATCCGTTTCCGTAAATTATCAGGAAGCATACGGTGGGACATCCATTGCTCTGCATCTCGCCTTTTCACTCTCATCTCTTCAACCCTAACAGTGATAGACTGCAAATATTTCTGTAACGGAAAACAAAAGCAAGTTTAACCATTTCATTTCAAAATTCTTTAGGAAAAACATGTTAGGCCCTAAGAAGCGACCATAAGTGGATATACATTGAAAGAACAAGCTGTGAACATTTTGATGAAATGTTCAAAACAGATATCAGCTTATGGCATGTTCAATAAGATGGATAAGACAACACATGACAGTATTAAGACAGGAAAATAAGTTAAATTTTGTCCATTATACCTTCTAGTACTGTGCAGTGCTGTTTATTAGACATGCCGTAAAGTACACGTATAAGCAGAAGGTGTTTTAACGGGAATCAAGTACAAACCTGCATGTTACCAATAAGCAACGAAAATAAAACCAGCCCGATGATGGAGATGAAAATGGCAAAAATAATCTCCCAAACGTAAGTGCTCGTTTTGAGGTTTTGGCCCAGAGAACTGAAATGAGAAACATATGAGAACAGGTATAAAACAACACAAAACTTAAGTATAAAGAAAAATTAAGAGAACCACAAACCTTAAATTCCGCAGTCCCCACCAAAAGCAATAGAAAAACTTCTTAGAGAAGTCCTTGCGATCGACAATTTGAGACTGAAGAGCATCAAGGAATATACCAAAATCAAAGTCCGTAGGGCTCTTTGTTTCATTTGGTTCAAGTTGCCGACAAGAATTACTGGGTAATGAATAGTTTTTAGGGCGGTGTCCTCCACAATATAAATTATGTATACAATCATTGTTTGATTCACATGCATTGCGCCAACATCTATCTTTGCGTTCTATTGAGAACAAATACCAGAACGCTCCAAGTACCTGACAAATAAAATTAGCACCTTGTAAGATTAGGGAACATGTGATATTGAGGAGCAGAAATGAAGTGCAAATTTATCATGTGATTCCGTATCGAGGCAGATAATGCTCTACATAGCAGAGCAACATACACTCAACTATAATCATATATTGATAAGATCCTTATAGTAAATAAGTGCTACTTTATTCTATGCTAAGTACTTTTACAGTATGGTCATATTATAATAATCTCAATTATAGGATTTGCCATGAGACTCTTAAAACGTATGTGCATACACAACGTCATCCTGAATTCATTTAGAGATACTTTCAAGTACAAGACAATCTAAACTGAAGCCAAAGAATTTAAGATTTTAAAATGAAGAAACCTCATAAAATGGAGCTACAAGAAGAGCTGAAAGTTATGATAAAATTTTAGTTTAAAATAGCATTGCATTTTCAATTTGAATAAACCAAAGAAGCTTACATGACTGAAAAGAAGGTAGAGGACGAGATTAAAAACAGCTCCTGCCCATGGAGTTTCAGTAAATAAGCCTGATGTTCTGGTAACTTCCTTGTATAAAGGATAGATCCGAAAAAGTCTTGGAACATACTGGGAGATAATGACAATCTTCAGTAGGTCCTTCGTAGCTAGTGACATTGGGGACTGTAAGCTGGGAACGACTATTAAAATTACCACCTGCAGACGAAAGAACGAGATACAATGAAACCATTATTTTATATAACTGTAGCTTCAATTGACAACAAAATGGACACGTACTTGTGGTAGGGGAAGAACTGCTAAAATGTCAACGATGAAGTAGGACATAAAGTATCGTTTTGCTATGGCCTTGGGATCCTCAATCAGCTCACCCCTCCCAAATACTCGAGAAGAAGGGGAAATAAATCCAGTACGAAATTGCAAAACAATGTGAAATATGTAGAAGAGGTCAATAAATGATCGAAGAACACAAGCAGTGATCTCGAATTTATCATCCAGGTCAAGGCACTGCTTGTCACCATCAATTACAGGAATGTAGAAGAACAGCGGGTCGAGGGAAACTGCAATCACACAAGCAAGTACAAAGATTTTGTTCCATCTTTGAACAAATGGTCCCTGAGGGTCAAGAATTTTCTTCTTCGAATTGTACTTTGGCTTATCATCTTGTGAAGAATGGCTGTGTAGGGATTTTCTCAAGCTTTTCATCCTTGAAGAACCTATTTCGAATCCCCTTCTAACTCCACTCATTACTGAACTCAAATTTGGATTCCATTTCGGAAATTGCCAACTATTTGAGTGCTGCTCGAGGCTAAAAGACGTCTCAGAATTAGGCTCCTCAAACCTGAACAAAAGAAAATGAAAGCAGCAGCATATATCATTATGGACGAAAAAGGCATTCAAAAACTTAAACTATAGAGCAGGACTGCAGAAAATGAGACCGTATTATATATGTTTAGATTTTTATATTTTCTTTTTTGGAAAATCAATCAAAATTTCATTAGCTTAAATCACTGCGAACTGCTGGGATATAAAAAAAGAGAATACAGAGCATGTATAAATGGAGTTTATAGAACTTTCTTATTAGCCAAAAAAGGTGTAGGTCCACATTCTTGTAACCCCACAGTGTGGATCCCTCACTTCGTGTGCTTATAAGAAAGCTTTATCCAGATATGCCCACAATATACCAAGTGCTAACAATCGGGCCAAAAGTAGCAAAGGAAGCGAGCTGGTGGACCACTTTATTCCCCTGTCCTGTTACGGAATAAAGCAACAAGCACCACAGTTCGCTTCACGAGAAAGAGGTACAATATCACACAGAAATAGAAGCATTAGGAGCTAAACTAAAATCTCGACTGTATTTGATAGTAATAAATAAGAAAAAGAATTTCAAATTCATTTATGTTATTATCCAATACAGTCTACTGCATGTCAAACATGTCTTGTTGTATTGTTAAACTAATATATTGAACCATATTCCATTCCACACCCCACCTTCCTCTGCCTCAACACCATAAATCTACTCGATTTTATTCAAAACCAACCATGAACATATTGAACTCCCAATCAAGATAAGATTGTACATAAAAGAACTTGTGTCCAGCAGAATTTGAAATAAAAAAGAGTGATCGTATCCATACACGAGCTATTTTAACTAACCTCACATATTTCCGTGGCTTGATTTTCATTTCTGCAACTGATGTGCTGTAAAATCCAGATGAACAATCAGCCTAGAAACTGTACTCTTCCTTTTTTATAGCCAAAAATTGCAAAAAATCGTTACCCTGCAAAATAACAACCCCATAAGCAGAATTAAAAGAGGAAATACGATATGATCATTTGCAAAGACAGTCTTTAATCAAAGTAAACAAATACCAGAAGATAATAAAAAATTGAGGGTTCAACAGGAAGTGAAATTGGGAACTTACAAAGAAAATTTTGAGTGCTCATTATGGGATTATTAGTTAGTTATATAACGAATCGTCCATAAAGGCAACTTTCATTTGAGAAATTTCTCGGAGATTTCTTTTGCAAGTGATTGACACGGTCTTGTCTCTCTAGAGAGAGAAGACTTTGGCGGGAGAAGAGTCAAAGCCTGGAAAATAATTTGTCTAAAAATTTAGGATGGCAAAAATTCTTGTTCCTATTCCATCGATCCCGGGTCGAGTGAGGCAAGGATTCCAACTCCAAAACCCACTTGGCAAAATTAGGCCTGGTGCTGTGTAGAAATAACTAATTTGAATAATACCCTCCTAATCTAATTAAATCTGTCAAACAAGTAATTAATACGTCCTAACCTACTAACTAAAAACCCAAAATCTATGCCCCATAGAAACCCTCCCAACTCCTCAACAGAGACGATTTACTCTCCTAGAAACTTCATAAGACTCAAATCTTCATCTCTTTCCTCTCCTCCTCTGCAATCTCCTCTCTCTCATCTTCTCCTCTCCAACTATTAACCACATATTCTGAATGTTTTTGGTAAAGTATTTTGAAACAGCATAGAGTTTAAGTATGCAGCTTGCATGGGGATGCATGCATGAGATAACATTTACTTCGTGCAAATCTGGGTTAGAAAAATCCAAGAATAGATTCCAGTTGTGAAAAAAAGTTTGTTTCATTCTGACAATAAAAACCACTGGTGGAATTGTGATAATCCCACTGAATTTTATGATAC